CCTCGTTGTAGCTCGTCCATGTGGCTTCTGTCATTGCCTATCTGCATACATTCAGGCCTACCATCGTCCATGGGGACTTGAAAGGAGTCAGGCCCCTTCCTTCGTCCTCTCGTGCTCCCCGCTGACCCCCAACTCAGAAAAAGGAAACATTCCGATCGATGAGCATGGGTATGCCATCATCACCGACTTTGGGCTCCCCAATTGAAATCTCCGGCAAAGGTATACGCATTTGGGTGCAAAGTCCCACCTAGTACTCTCTCCAGATTCACGTTATCGCCACGCTACACGCGCGAGGATTCACGGCCCTCAAAGTGATGAATATTACTCGCAAGATGGGCTTGAAGAAGAGAGTCAGTCTCTGGGCAATGATTCTTCTTCTTGTCATGCCCTGGAACTCAAACGCGCCATCTCCTTGCGTTGACGGCTTATCATCGATGGCTTGAGGAGTTGCTTTGGGCTTCCGAGTCGCCACCCGAATGGCAACGGGCGTAGACACGGTACATTGCTCAAAATTCTTCAGCTGGAAGTATATGTATCCGTAGCTTCACGATTACTTATTATTTGCTACTTGGTGGACAAATTATGGCCACAGCGCAACCATTTACCTTGAAGTCATTACGTCTATTTTTCACACCGCGGGGAACTCATCCTTCCCCACTCCCACATTTTTAGCCAATTCAATAAATTCTAATTTCACCAACGCGTTCAAGTTTGTTCCATCCCCCACCTCTTTCGAAAGCGACAGTACATAGTACGAGCTTACCCACTTCCCCTCACCCTCCTCCGCTGAGCCGCTTCATCCTCGCAACCTCCTCTCTGTGCTGCGAGATCTCTTAGATACACATACCTCTACCCACCGCACCCTCTGCTCCCTGACACGGACGTAGATCACATATACTTGCACGGCTTCCAATCACTTTTGGTTGGGCCCGCTGCACGGCCGTAAACCCAGTTCTTCGCCTGTATCCCGCATTCCTGATTCTTGGCATCATCAACGCCAGAACCGTCACGTCTGCGTCCTTGGGCGCGAGATGCCTCAGGCAGAGGAAGGTATGTAGGTACTGCCGCGTAAATTGTCGTGAAAATAGGAAGTGATAGCAATCAATGAGTGCCCGTGATGTTCTGGGAGATAACAAAATTGTGATGGACGTTGTGCTAGTAATTTGAGTATCAATCGGTCAAGCTACGGTTGAGCTACGGAGTCAAACTGGTAACTTTTATGATTATACGAAATCGTTCCACTGCAAGTAACGTATCCGAAGGTCCTGGGTTTGACGACGGCTCGCGTGCATATTGATGCCTGTCCAATTCTTCGATGCAAGAGATCAGTCAAAATCACAGACCCTTTCACGACCAGAATCTTGGTGACTGTCTCCTGCAGAAACTTTCGTCGACATCGTTGCTTCAAGCGGCTATAGTCCTGATGCTCTTGGATCCACCGAAACTCGGCATACGATATGGAAAATGCAACCGTCCGGAGAGAGAAGTAAAGGAGCTGTAGGCAAGTTTGTAGGATCATGGCATTTCGGAAATGGACGTCTGACGCCCGTGCCGTGAATGTAGAGAGCAAGGGTTGGGAAGACGGGGAAAAAGAGACCACAGCATTCCCTGATGAATATAACGACAATTTCAGATCTTCATCAGCACTTTGAAAGAAAAACGGTCAACGCACGGCGGATCCTCATCAAATCCCTCATCCAGACTACCAAAACAGCAATCTGCAAGGATGAACTCCTGTCCTCGCAAGCTATGCCAACGCAGACCTCTGCTTGGCATAAGCCCCAGCAGTAAAGGTTCATTATGTCTGGAAAAGTATCCACAGACCTCCCCATAGGCAACCATTGGTCTGAAGGCGACCCTATGACGCCATCCGCCCAAGAATGCTCCAAAAAGTCAACGAACCCATGCAAAATAAGTCGCTTGCGGTGCTTGGCGATGGACGGTTTATAAGGATTGAAGTTTAGTCCGTCTTTGGGCTCCTCGTAGCCTGATATCTGAAGGCTGACAACTATCTAACGGTACGCTGCGCTGTTGCGGAAACGAAGAAAGACAAAGTATTTGCACAAGGTTTCGACATCCCGTCGATTGAATGGTATGGATCGCTTGGTGTTTTCCTCGCTCCACACAGTTCGGTCCAGAATATCGGTCACCACCGACCGAGCATCAGACTCAAGCTTCGTGAAGCTTTGCTCAGCTTCTTTGAAGATTTTCTGAGTCTCGACATCAAGAAAGCCAGAGTTGAAGTCTTATCTCGTATGCTTCGTTTAATTCGTTATCTTACACATCGTATATGTGAACACGTTGTTTGTTTGCAGGTTTACCAGTTCCGTTGTAGAGATTTAAGACAGGTATGATTGAAGGTTGTCGTCGACGTACACATGCGACGGACAGAACTCCCAAAGGAAATGAGGGAAATAAGGTGAGGTGGAGCCCGACATGCTGTTAAGCGCGCGTCGGTGAGATAACCTAAGCCTTTGACAATGCAAGAACGTACCAAATGTCAGTCCACTCCTAGTTGCGTTGATGTGGACAAGGAGAGCAGACTCTCCGAAGCATACCACGCGGCGGGGACCTGCGTCGTGGAAACAACTGGCGGATGAAACGAGCGTAACGCGCGTCTAGATCGCCATCATCAAAGCGATCGCGAAGTCGAAACCGAGTCCCTCTATTTAAACAAAGGTGGGAGACAAGTTAAGCTCGGAATACTGGTTATGTAGGTGGTCAACCGCCCGTGCCTGAAATGTCATCGGTCCATGAACACTGCTATCAATTCCGGAGCGGAAAGAAGAGGAATCATAACAGACCGCAGACACACGCCTGACATACGTCATATGGCTTTGATATTGTTGTCCAAGAGGCGTCAAGCAGTAGCGCTGGTTGAGAGTGGGGAAGAAAATCAGGCCAGAAGAAGTTGGGCAACTGTGATTCCATGCGGCTGGACAAGGCCCAGAAGATTGAATATTGCATGAATTTCCCGAAGAAGCCAACTGGGGCTTGGAGAGATAGGTCCTCTTGAGACATAGTACAAGAGATAGCTATCGGTCGATTCATTAATCACAGGATTAGCATGAGAAGGAGGTGCATACTCACTAGTGAGCTGATCTCCGGTTTCTCTCTGGAGACGTTTGGACGTTCCGCGTAAATGAAACTGGCTCAATGAGCCGGACATCCTCAAAGATCGCGGATGATTTCTGTTGATTTCAAGGCACGTATGACAATCAAACGACGATGAGAGAGGATACTGAAGGTGTCGTTCGCCTGTCCTGGCAAAGACTTCGAAAGAAGAAGGGAGGTGGTCAAACGCGGTGGTGATTCGCGCTGAAAGATGGTCAATGGACCCGGGTGGTTGGAGTTCTGACTGGTCTGAGGCTGCTGGGTGGTCGGCAACCGTAGCCTCGTAAGTGGATGGTGGTGATGAGTGTTCGACAGAGCACGGTAGTGGATCCTTTTCTTGCACAAAGGGGACATCAAATGGCGAATACGAGAGTTGAGAAGACGTGAGTTAACGTTGAACATCCTGCTTCGGATATGGCGAGTTGAAAATTAACAGAGAAGCTCTCGGAGTCAGTGCCGCCAGAGCAGCATATCTGTGAGGTGAAACTGCACGATAGCGTTGCAGGGCTTCAGGGAACATTAGAAAGCGAAACTGGCGGCATAGGTGGCAAAGGCACCTCAGAGTTATCCAACCCAGCTTCAGCTATCAAATGGCCTCAGGCTGATCTGGTGCAAAGCCAATGACAGGGATAACCGGCGGTCCCGTAGTCCCTGCGACGTATTGGATGTGTCTTGGTCGACGTCAAGGCATGATGCGATGGTGGTCAAGAACAAATATGACCATCTACCTCATGACGCATTGTGCTTCATCTCATTTCTGGGACAATACCAATATCCGATCCAGTAGCGTATTTTCTGCCCTCTATCAATATCTCTTATCAATCCTTTCGTTAGTCCTCATTGACTCTACGTGATCATGCCCACCATCACTTTCTCGCCCAATGCGGTGTGCGTAGATGACTTCTATCGCCCGCCCACGACCTTCCGGTCTACGGGCAATCTTCGAATACGTATTCCATAAGGCTTCAACTTTGTTGGGCCCAGTCGCTCACTTCTGCCGCACCTCTTTCTCATGGAAACCCATGAATTGGCATAAGAGCGGTAAAGTGTTCTTTGCTATTCCGTTATCCGTTCTCCCGCTCATTATCCTGACACCTAATATCAGGTCCTTTGAGAAAATGCAATCCGTGCACTGCGTTTTTACTCATGATTGGACGGGAAGTTTGTATCTCGTGAGTACTTATGCTGCACTGGATCATTCCCGGTTTTTGACGGTCTCTTTACAGAAATCGCAATCCGTATAACCTAGGCATCCAATGATCCAAAGGACGAAGGTGGGCGTCACGCGGAAACATCCGAGCGCCAGTGGCCCAGAATGATCACCTCCAACCGCACAACTGCAACGGGTTTAATCCAGCCAGCCTCAAACGCCACTGAACCAACATTAAGGTGTAGCAGGCGCAGCGGATGGTCATAGACGAGCTCGTACTATCAAGTGAGTACTACGCCTTTGGTTATTTCAATATGTTGCTAACATATTGCTCAACCAGTCGTCAACCAGTCGTCAACGTAAAGATCTTATGGCGCAAGCCTCTTGGCTCTTTGCTCAATCCTGAGTTGTCGCCGATGCGCTTTCCTGGATCTTTCACTACCGCAACCGCCATCCACAGGACGAACCGGACGAGGGTCACGCGTTGAAGCGACGGAAGTTGTTCGAGTGTCGACTTCGCCAAAGCCTCGTCCGTCGTTGTTGCATCTCCAAG